TGTGGAGGGAAAAAAACCGGAGGCAAAATCTATGCAAGCACGTGAGGAGAGAGATGCCTAATCCCGACATACAATAAGAAATAGAACTTGGGTTTCAATAAATACTTTTTTGTGTGCAGGAGGTCCCCGTTTTGTATGTTTGACCAATTGCTGTGTGGTTTTGTTATGGAGTAAAAAGTATTGCCTGGAGAAAATCCCTTAAATACGAGGGGGCAGCACACTCACACCTCCTCACACCGGCGAGAGGCGATGGAAAAGTCAACACCCTGACACAACAGAGACCAGTAAGTGCCCTTGATGAAGCTGTGCCACATCTATACGGTGGCTAGGAGATGTTAACTCCCTCGCCTGGTATACAGGAGGTCGTGCGTTCGATTCTGACCCTGACGCCTGCTGCTGTATATTTGGAGTTTGCGTGTCTCTCTCTCTCATCATCATCACGTTGGCTAGGAGATGTTAACTACCTCGCCTGGTATACAGGAGGTCGTGCGTTCGATCCCGACCCTGACGCCTGTTGCTGTATATTTGTAGTTTGCGTGTCTCTCTCTCTGCCCGTGGTTGTGTGGATCTTTCTCCGGGTCCTCGGGTTTTCCCCTCCACATTTAGAATCAACATCACGCGTTTAGATTATTTGGCTGCTATAAATCTAAGTTTAGAGTGTTTGGCTGCAATAAATATGCCTTTGTGGACAGGTCGCTTGTAAAAAAAAAGAACTACTTTATATAGCTCAATGGACCTTACCTGGTAAAATAGTTATAAAATAAAAAATAGTTATAACATAAAAAATAGTTATAAAATAAAATAAATTATTACAAGATAAAAAAAAATAGTCAAAAAATCAAACGTTACAGCTTCGACATCCTCAACCGTGACTGGCAAAAAAAAAAGATCAGCCCAAATTACATTGCAGTGAATAAAAGAAATATGCCCACGATTGTGTGTTGCGATATGAATCTCTTCAGCTTTAATGTTCACGTTTTGCCTGTCGTACAGTTTTTTTTTTACTTGCGGAGTGTTGAAATGCAGTGAGGTGATAGGAGCGGGGCACGTGATTTATCGCTCAGGTTTGTTTTCGCTTCTGCCGAGAATATTGCACTCGGTTTCCAAGACGTCATTGAGAAGCGTTACAATCACATCTCAGCATTGGAAGGGGATGCTGCTGCTGATGCCATCGTGTGATGATTATCTTAAACTAAACGTATTATTTTACCAGGTAAAACCCTCTGAGCAACGAAACGAGAGCTCAACGAAGTGGCTTATCATGTGGATATGTAGAGCGACCAAATACTCGAAACGCGTGATGTTGATTCTAAACGTGGAGGGAAAACCCGGAGAGCCCGGCAGAAAAAAATCCACACGACCACGGGGAGAGAGACACGCAAACTCCAAATAGACAGCAGCAGCAGCAGCAGGCGTCAGGGTCGGGATCAAGCTCACGACCTCCTGCACACCAGGCGAGGTAGTTAACATCTTCTAGCCACCGTGATGATGATGAGAGGGAGAGACACGCAAACTCTAAATATACAGCAGCAGCAGCAGGCGTCAGGGTCGGGATCAAGCTCACGACCTCCTGCATACCAGGCGAGGTAGTTAACATCTCCTAGCCACCGTGATGATGATGATGAGAGATAGAGACACGCAAACTCCAAATATACAGCAGCAGCAGGCGTCAGGGTCGGGATCGGACCCACGACCTCCTGCACACCAGGCGAGGTAGTTAACATCTCCTAGCCACCGTGGCCGCCCAACACGATTCGCTGTATTGGCGTGCCGGTTTTAACAATGCCGCCTGTTTCTTAAATCCCCTCCACCGCCACCACCGCCACCAGCTGTGTCCACCTCGCGGTATTGATGGAAATCGCAGCGCAGTTCGCCAATCGACACCGCCGTACGCGCGGTGGGGTAAGAAGTGGGTAAAGCCCGCATCTTCCACGATGTCCGGCCACCGTGGAAGGGTAGACCCACATGCCCTCTCATATGCTGGCCCGTCCGCCAGCAGTGCAGTGACCAAGTAATTGCAGGGCTGCGCCTTTTTACCTTCACCGAGATTTGAAGGGTTCGCTTTTGAATCGAGCCAGAGCATTTAGCCACAAGGATAATAATAATAATGTTGGTCTACATTTGCAAATAAAAATCGAGTGCAATTTCTAAATACAATTTATTGGACTTCACAAGCAAACAACATCAACCGTTAAATATTATGTATAGTTTTTCCAATTTGATGTCATCATGCCTCGCTCCTCCACTATCCCCCCCCCCCCCCGCTCGTCTCCAACCAGCCCACATCACAATTCGGGGAATAATTGTGCATCTATTTGTTTTAATTAAGCTCTTTGATCACTCGTTATACTACAGTACGGCCTTTAATCATACCGTAAGCCTGCATTTTATCAGGCGACGGCAAACTGCGTGTAAAATAGCACCTAATTAAAGAAGTCATCGATTGAAAAGTTTCCCGGCTCATAAATAGTGTTTATTGGTTTGTGTTTGGCCTTGCATTTGCCTTTTATTGTTCGTCGCTGCTATATTGGGGCATTAAGTCGAGAGACGTTCGCACAGCGCTGGGAATGTAATTGGGTTCGCGTGTCGAAAGAAAGAAATCTGCACCAATGTTTGTCCATCGTCGCGATTTTTGTTCTTCCACTGCCACATCCCGAACCGAGCCAGCGCGATTCCTCGCCGTCACGGGCGGTTGTGGCCGTGCTGAGCCGGAAGGGCAAACTGCGACGACGCTGGCCCCGCAAGAGACAGGAATCTGGCCGGCTTGGGGCCCAAACAGGGCCAAGCAAAGGCCACTGGCCACAGGGCCAAGCAAAAGGCCTCAGGGCCCGCGGGCTGATGGCGCGTGACGTCAGTACGCAGTGAGGACGCAGTGGGCGCCCGGCTCAGACAATTTACTCAGGGTGGGGTGGGGGGTTGTGTGTGTTTTGTGTGTATGCGTCAGTGCACATGTGTGTGTATCTGCCTGTGTGCTTTTCATTGGGAACAGTGGCGGAGCGGTTAGCGCGCCGTGCGCTACGAAGCCGGCAAGCCGGGTTCGATTCCCACTCTCACGACACCCAGTGACGATTATCTGAACCAGTCCTGGGCCTCCCCTAGGTCGACTCAGCCTTAAATGAGTGGGGTGTGTAAACATCGCCACCGGGGAGACAAAGGCGGTCGGGCGTGGTTTTGGCCACCCACACCCTCGTGCGCCGTGCCGGCCTTCATAGGTGCTCGCTAACAGCACTTGTTCCTACAGACTGTTGAGGCTATACGGGGAATATTTGTCTTTGTTTTTCATTGGTAATTGTTAGGGTGGCCGTCTGTCGATTTCATGGTTGTGTTGGGACTTTTGTGTTCAGTGTCTGTGTGTCTCATCGTTTTACGTTGACGTCTTTGTCTTCGTGTTCGTTAGTTTGTGCCACTGACTCTGCAGTGCGTCAGCTGATTGTTTAGAAAGTAACGCGGTGTCACAGCTTGAAACAGGGTCACATCACACCGATAGGGAAGCACTGAACCAGCTTCATGAATTCCCAAATAAAATTGAAAAGGAAAAATGGTTTGTTAAAAAAAATGTTTCGGGAAATTACTTGCGACTGTTGTTCGTCTTTTTTTGCTTTTGACAAAACAGATAAACGCATCTTTAATCGGGGGGGGGGGGGGGGGGGGGGGGGGGGGGGGGGGGGGTAACATCTTGTTTGTACAGAGAGAGGCGATAGAATCCTTTGAAGCCAGCGCCATGGCCCACAGCTGGGAAGCGGTGCAACGTGGAAGTTGAACATCGGGCAACTTGACAATTTATTAGCGCCGGTGGGAGTGGGGAGCCAAGATTAGTATCGGTCATCTCGATCGCCCAATCTCCGCCCGGCAGATCACCGCTTACGGTGACACCTCAAGGCCGCCGGCTCACCGGTTGTTGTTGTTGTTGTTATTTTGCTTGCCACTCGATCACGAGCCACGCCGAAGGACGCGGACTCCCGACGCCGAGTTGCTGCTCGCCGCGGTGCCCGAGCGCGCTGCCCTTGCGGACGCGTTGAACCCCCCCACAGTTTTGATTTTTACATCCCGCGGCTAACATCAGTGGCGAACGATTGGCTGCCACGTCGCTGGGTGCCCCCCCTCCCCACCCCGCTCCTCCTTCAACGAGGCCCAAGAGGGCCCAACCCACGGGACGTAATAATTTTTGGTCGACTTTTATTGAAATCGACGTTATCCCTGGGTCGGATGCCCTGGCTGAGAGCGAAGGAGGACGCGCTTGTGGAGTTTAGGATTACGGCCCCTTTCGCGGCGGCGGCGTCGAGATATCTTCCTCCGCGTCTGCTCCCGTTGCCTCTCGTGTGTCTGAGGGTCCTTGAACGCGCCAGGGTGTGGGACACATCGCCTAGCCGAGACCCCCGGGCCGTTGTTGGAAGGCGGACCGCTATCATCGCGATGGAGTGAATAAAAAGCCCTCCCCGACCAGGCAGCTGGTCGGGGAGGGCTTTTTCGACCACTGGCACTTAACAACGAAAAGGAAAGAAAACCAATTTGACGAAAATGACTCGGTTCACTGATGATGGGCGTCGTGTATTCGTAAGTGTTTAGCTTTACAGTTAAAGTAACCTAGAAATGTATGCCAACCCTGCTCTGAGTAGTGACGAAAATTACGCTGTTCTCTGTGAATGGGCATTGTACATGCCCCCACCCCCCCCCCCCCCCCAAATATAGAAGTCAAACGCCACATATGTGTACAGCTTTATACTTCGAGTCACCTTTCTAATTAGGCTAGCCCTTCTCGGTGAGTAAAACCTATGAACCTACAGATCATATCTTTTGGACGTCGAAAAAATGTCTTTATAAAAAAAAGTGTTTTTTAGATTGTTTGTTCAGGTTGTAGACTACATTGATTTCACATGTCAACTGTCTAGCCCTTCTAGGGCATCGTGAGAACTTGCATCCATTCGTTCAGTCACTGGCGTCTGCTTGTCGACAACGAGGCTAACCTTTGTGTTTTTTTTTCACTTTGTTTTGTTTTCCAGCAACAGCGTCGTTTGGATCTCCTGACCATCACGAGCCCAGGTCGGTCCATTCGCGACACGCTCTCATTCACGAGCGATGTTATTGACTACCTCGCCTGGTTCACAGGAGGTCGTCGGTTTGATTCCCGACCCTTGACGCCTGCTGTATATTTGGAGTTTGCATTTTCACTCTGCCCGTGGTCGCGTGGAATTTTCTCCGGCGTCCTCCGGGTTTTCCCTCCACGTTTATAATCATGCGTTGAGAGCATTTGGCTGCTATACATTTCCACGTGGTAAGCCACTTCGTTGAGCTGTCATTTGTGATAGCCAGGTCGCTTCTGAAAATGAGCTACATAGCTCATTGGGCCCAACCTCCGTTTTGTGTTGCTTTTTGTCTTTAATTTGTTCTTCCCCCGCACCTCCGATGATGTGAAATGAGTTGAACGTACATACCTGGTAAAGTAAAAAGAAATAATTGCTAGTTTTCAGTGCTTTAGCAAGGGCACACCACCCACTGCAGCACAGATCGCTCCGCCAGATGCCCCCACTGCCTTACCACCACTTCACTTGCTTCCAAGCGGAGCTTCTTGGCTGTCACATGTCACGGTTCAGTCCGCTTTACGTTTGCCCGCCGCTGTGGGTCTTCGGGGCGGAGCGGCGGCGCCGTTGTGAGCCCGGCCCAGCGACCTCAGTTTGATTCCCCGACGGGCGGTGGGTGGCTGCACTCACCGGCGGTCGAGCTCCTGGATCCTCAACATCCGGCAGCGACCATAGCGGTCAAAATCTCCGTACCTACCCCACCCGCGGCACGCGTGCCTCCTTCGTCCGTCTCTGCTTCCACGTCCCGTCAATCGACCCCCCTGTTTTCATGAGCCCGACAAATCCCACCGTCAACGCTTGGAGGAGGCCTTCATCCATTGGTGAATTGACAAGGGGCTCTACGGTGTGCGAGCCTTCGACAAGTCGACATGCGCGAAATCGTCAGTGCCATTGCGTCAACGACACTCAACACAATTTACAACTCGCGCACATTTCGCGAGTCGGGCGCAATGTCCGATCGAGAACTCGCAGGCGCGGATGCAGAGCTTGAAGTCTCCCCTGTGCCAAGCTGAACAGGTGAGATCGTGGACAGGTGAGAGCTTAGACAGGTGAGAGCGTGGACAGGTGAGGGCGTGGACAGGTGAGAGCGTGGACAGGTGAGAGCTTAGACAGGTGAAAGATTGGACAGGTGAGAGCCTGGACAGGTGAGAGCCTGGACAGGTGAGAGCCTGAACAGGTGAGAGCGTGGACAAGTGAGAGCCTAAACACGTGAGAGCCTTGAGTTACTGCCTGAAGGTGGATGATGGTGCCCGGCTGCTGCTGCTGTGCTGCTGCTGCGAATGTGCAGTGGGAGAGAGCGTTCCAGACGGCTGCTGCCAGTGCAGTTACGGAGAAACGCCGCTCAGCCATGACGCGGCCTTGGTCCAGGGTGCCACGAGCCGGCTGTCGGGCGTGATCCATAGGGCGCGAAGGTTAGCTGTGGCCAGCGGAGTGAGAATGGTGGAGAGAGGTATGCCCCCTGACCGTAACTCGTAGATTTTGTCCACCATTGGGTGTTGAGAAAGGTGTGGTGATTGATGATATCATCATCAATAATTAAAATACATTGTTTGCTTTGATCTTCATGCGTGTAAATGCATAATCTGATTATGCAACCGATATGCAGACTCTATGTTCGTGTTTTATTTAATTAAGCAATTATTCAAAACGGTAACCGATAGACTGGTAGATTATTTATATAGACGATAGGCGCAGCTCTTAGAAACAAAATTTCAATTTAGACTGTCGCAGCGAGCAGTGTACCACCCAGTGTCAGATCACCCCCGGAAGATGACGTCACAGAACTTATTTTGAAGCCGCGTCAACAAACATCTTGATCAATGCCAGGAGCACAATATTTACAAACGATTACAAAAATATGTCTTTCTTCCTCAAATAAGCATTGAGGTGGTGGAACATCTCGTAATTACGGCCCTGAGCCAGTGGTAAAAAAATCCACATTCCTATTGTGAGGTCAAGTCTATCACAAAGTCTGTCCACTTCTAAACGAAATGATACGCGGTTTATCGACCCCAAAAGGATGACCGAGATTTGAACTCGCAACCTTGGGCCGCATTTATTATTTATAAATGTATATAAAGCATCCATTATGAAGCCATATCTCAAGAAACGCTATAACAATAAATATTGCCTGCCAACGTTACATTGGACTAACATTTCTTCTCCGTTAAAAAACTTGGTTTCCACTACTTAAGATTGTCTTTGCATTCTGGTATGCACTTCCTTGCTATACATTCATGGTTGGGAGTCAATGACCAATGGACACGCACCAGCTTTTCGTGAAATTTGGTCAAATAACCCCCCACATCCCCACCACGTCCCGCACGCTGTCGGAAGGTCCTTACCCAGCAGTGGATTAACAAGAGGCTGTACATGTACCTATGAGTCTGTGAAATACTTTATCGTATAATGCGGTGGTTCTTAACCTGGGGTGCACGCTGCATCCCCTGGGGGTGCGAGAAGCCCTTTCTGGGGGTAGCGAGACACGGCCAGGCTTTTCTTGAAGGTAAATAATCGAAAACACAAATTAAGCACGGGCACGTAAGTACAACTACTTTGTTTTTATACAACCTTTGTGTATTTACTAACATTATACTTTATTTTACGATTGAGAACCAATGGGGCGCAACGCTGAAGTAAATGTTAAAACCCACTGGTTGGAATGTGTATCGACCACATGCATGCAAACAAAAACTGAATTGAAATAATCATAAGAATAATGCAGAATTTGTCACGAGCCTTCAGCGCGGTATTCACTTCGCTCCCATAGAGAGAGGACGACTCGGCAGCCACGACGAGTAGCCACACACGGGCAGGAGGGCCGCAACGCGGTGAGCCGACGCCAACAGTATCCCGATCTCTGCAGTCCCCTCTATATATTAAGGTGCTATCCACCTATTAAGGAGTCTCTAGAAACTAAACTATTGCAAACTATATATAGTTTTTCTATTTTACCAGGCAAGGCCCACTGAGTTATATAGTAGCTTTTTTTCAGAAGCGACCTGGCCACAAATGATGGGTCACACACGTGGAAATTGAAAGCAGACAGATACTCTAAATGCACGTTAATTTTAAATGTGGAGGGGAAAACCGGAGGACCCGGAGAAAAATCCACGCGGCCGCGGGGAGAAAGACACGCAAACTCCAAATATACAGCAGGCATCGGGGTATGGATTGAACCCACGATCTCCTGTATACCAGGCGAGGTAGTTCATATCTCGGCACCGTGACGTCGTCTATCATTTGGGAGGAAACCGTTGCATCCGGAGCAAAAATATGTGGCGCTTGACTTCTATATTTTTTGAGGGGGATCACGGGGTGCAAATAACAGCAAGATTTATTTATTTATTAAACTACTGACAATAAATGAATGTGTCCACTTTGAGGGGGCCTTGCCCCCCTCGTGCCCCCTCCCCCGAACTCCACCCATGGAAACGCTCTTCCCCATGTAGACCGAGCAGTTGGAGCTCCACATCGTTGCCGCACTGCTTTGCTCCTGGCGAGCCCCGGTTCAGCTGCTCCTCACGCCCACTGGAAGGGAGTTTCACAACATTCACCAACCCTCGCCTCGACAATGCTGGATTACAGGCCACGTGCATAGCCGCCGCCGCCTGGTGTAAGCGTGCTACTTGCTATCAGAAGACTGCAAGTTTAAATGCCATTCAGGGGGTTGGCAGCCCATCAGCATCATCATACTATCTAGGGCCACTAAAATTGGCGCTATTTAATGGGAATTCGACAGCAATCAAATATGTAGAAGAGGAGAAACCCCCCATCGTAGCAGGGTTATAGTGCAGCCTGGAAAAGCAACAGCGTTTCAAACGCACGTTTGCTCAATTCTATTTTGGTGGTGACCTCAGACTACAAGGACCACAATGCACTTCTTCAGGAACTGCTGATGGTCTTGTTGCCTATGCACGACGGCCACGTGTTTCTTTTTTAACTACACTTTGCTGTGTCCTGTTTGAAATTCAACAGCAGTTGTATTAAAGGCTGCCTCGTCACTGTCATAAAAATAAACTATATTTATATATTCTTGGTTCTTTCGGTAAAGCCACGTAGAAGGGAAACAATACAATAATAAAAAATATAAAACAATACAATTCTCACGACGTTTCGACTGGTTTTCACACCTGGTGATGATTGCTTGTGTTGCAGTCGAAACGTCGTGATAATTGTATTGTTTTATATTTGTAGGCCTCCCCATTCTATGTTGGGCATGAGGGATTGATTGACCATACTTCACCATGCTGGTCAGTGGCCGAGTAGTGCGGTGTGTAAATCGCTGCACCACCGCTCCACGCCGCTCCTCACCATCCCCGTTAGGCAACGCGATCATTCAAGAATTAGGTCGTCGCGTTCCTAGCGCAGTGCGCTGATGACCAGCCCTCCGTCACTGCCACTGGAACGTGGAATGGACCAATTCCGGCTCGAGGTCTTGTTTCGAGACGCGGGCCACGTTCGTGCTCATGTGAAGAGGGAGACACGTTTTTTTTACTTTTGTCACAAAGTACAGATTTTTTTTTTAAAATACATGAACATAGCGAGTTCAGAGTTTCTGGATCATGCCTGTCTGTGTTGTTTACGTTTTTTTCATCTCTGTCCTCGCTCGCGATTGATTTGTGAAGGCTGAGAAAATCCCCCGTGAGTGCTGTCACGTCAGACCGAGCTGTCTCAACACCAGCGTGATAGCGATGCACAAAATCGTCTCGAACGGAGGAAAATAACTAAATAAATAAACAACGGCTGAAACATATATAGCAAATTGCCCCCCCCCAATCACGCTTCCCATCCTTCCCTTGCATTGTCCAAAGACTATCACCGTCGTCTGCTTTGGTGCAGGGCTACGCTCACTGCCGCACTCCGGCCGTTGCCCCATCCTCTTTGTCGCGTGCTCGTTTGCTCCCTAACCTCGTTTTGCGGCTCTCTGTGAGTTTTATTGCGGGCGACGGACAGATCTTT